AGGCAGAACCACCAACCCATGCCAGCTGACAAGCCTCCTGTGGCTTTCCACCATCAACTCCCTTCTCTGGCCAGCTGAGCCTTTCCTTCACCCTACTAAGTGCATTAACCATAGTTAATCATAGACCAATTAAATATGGTCCCACAGCGGGACCATATTTAGCGGCTCCAGCCCTTAGCACTACGAAAAAATCACTAAACCTTCCCTCTGAAAACCCCATTTTACTCATCGTCTCTCAATATGCTATCCTTCCCCTTCTCCAGTGTTCTGACAGCATAGATCTTCATGTTTTCCAACTCTTACGTGTGTTTCAGGCAGATAAGAGGAGGGTATTCAAAGCCCACTTACTAGTAATGCAATAATACATACTTTTTTTTTTTTTTAAACCTCAAAAATACTTGTATGCCAGCTTCCTGGACAGTGCAGAATAACCACTGCTAAAAAGTGTTTCCTTCTTACCGGTTGCAAGCACCTTTTAGAAATAAGGTGCTGGTACACTTCACCTGGAACGCGGATTTGTAACAGTCTGCGGTTAAAGGAAGCCACATCTCAGCTAGCACCAGTGTCAGCAGTCCTGCCTGAGAACACGGGTGTGAACTCCCATTTTCTCTCCGAGCGCAGAGACAGCCCTGCAGGCCTGGAGTATACTGAAAGGGCTCTGCAGAGGGCACATCGCCTTCACGCCTCCTCCTCAGTGTATCAGAGAATATCCCTGCCTGGATTTTTGAAGGAGGCATCTTTCCCAAGCAATAATTAACTTAAGATAAAACATATCTGTACATGTTCCATTTCCCTAACTCTCTCCAGATGGGAGAGCTGAAGGTTGTTTATAAACTACCAGAGTTTGGCCTGTTTGACTGGACACAGACTGAAAAAGAGGATTGACATTTCCAGACTGCACCAATTCCCAACTACAGAAGCGCAGCCAGACCGGTTTTGAACTGGAACAAAACGTTTACATGGAAGGTTTGCATTTCTGGACCTGTTGACTCTCTTGCCTGTATCCACAGACATGTTTCGTCAGGCTCGTCCGCTGTGGGACAAGCAGCTTGACCGGCTGAGTCAAATCCAGATTTGGTCAAAATCTGATTGCACAGTTTTCACCAAAGAAGCTGAGAAATCATCTTCAGGTAAGATATCTGAGTTTAGGCTTCACGGTCCTTAGGGACAGATCAAGAAATAGAAGCGATGTATGGCATCAAAGCTGGCTTAAGCTTTCTACTCAGTAAAAACAAAGCTCTCAGTATAATGGAGACAATCAAGTCATTTCCTTAACTTCTAGGAACTATTTTAACTACTACGTTATTAATGATTTTGCAAATCAAACTTTATATGCTTGTCCTTGTATTTGAAGATGAAATAAACTACGAATTATATACAAGCTGAACCGACAGTGGCTAATACTTGGCCAAGTTAATAACTGCAAAAATCAACAAAGAGAAGGAGCTAAGTTTTATAGACTGAGATGCACTGTACCCTTCCTCAAGATGTTTGGGTTTTGCTTGTTTTAAAACCTGGTTAACAAAATAGATGAATCCAAAATCTTCCCATTCTAAGCAAAAGACTGAAATGTCATCCAGTTCAGTCCCTTCACCTCATCCTTAACTACATAAGCAGCACTTCCATTTTATCATCTCATTAAACTTGCATACACCTATCACCTCCTCTGCAGCCTTTCTGAAGGCAGTGCCCTACACATTATATTCACGACACAGTACTGGTCGAGCCTCAGTCTCTGATGGGTACCTGAAGCGTGCGTGAATCCGATCCCTTTTTTTAGTGGTGAGCACAGTCCCCAGTTACAGCCAGCCACCACGCAAAGCGGTGTTATGCAAAGGTCATTAACACAGCTGTCCCAGCAGCCCTTAATCCTGGGAACTGCAACACCCTCACTCTTCTATTCTTGGGTGCCTTCACAAGAAAGGCGCTGAGCTGCGTTAGAGGGCACAGTGGGCTCAGGACTTCCTCTCCCTTGGAGTCCAGCACTTCTTTTTTTTCCTCCTCTTCTGATGACATGGAAAAGCTGTGAACCCCACATGCATACCAGCAAGCCCCTGCAGAGCTGGCCTAGCTCTGACAGATGCAGTCCCTTTATAACCATCCATCCCTGTAAAATGACCTCAAGCATGCTAGACTAACGCTCCCTCTCCGGTTGTCTCCACGCTCTGCATTTCACTTCTTGCTCAGTTTCCATTTTTTTTTTCTCCCTTCAAAGAAGAGGAGCAAAATCCAAAACTCCCTCCTTCCCAGCCACAGTGCAGCCACTTCTTCTCCACTGGCCAACTGGCAGCCCTACTCCGTAGCAAATGCCTTCACTCTGTCCCACTCCACCAAACCACAGGGTTAAGTCCTAACAGATACTTCAGCTCCCTATGCCACGTACTCTGTACTGCCAGCTGTCTCAAATACATGCAAGATATTTCATTTCAGCTTTCTCCCAATTCCATTAAAATTGGTGTTCAAAATTCCCCAATTCTTTTTTTCTAATGTTCTTAGCGCTCTTTTGAAACTGAATTTGAGCCACATACCCCCAACTCATTTACAATTAACAGATGCAGATTAAAAAAACAGGGTTATAGGGTTATAACTGAGATTTCTTGCCGTGATTGCCAGCAATGAATATCAGACTAAGCAGGTGAGGCATGCTTTTCTTTGTCTCAAGAGACCCGGTCTCCTCTTGGACACACCTGCCATAACTAAGAGTGGACACAGCAGCTGGATACGTGGTGCACATAAGCCACTCAGACCCTCAGAAAGCCTTCATCAAAGTTCCAGTAAGAGACATCTAAAGCTGGCACAGTCTGAACATCCAACAACTGTCTCAGATCGGCAACCACCTAAGAGACAGAAAACGCAATGGAAGTAAAGAGCCATTTCTAAATGATGGAGAACGTCAAAAGCAGAACAGCAGAAATTTCTGAAGGAAGCCTGGCGTTACTACATACGTGGAACTAGAGAAGAAAGGGTTGTTAGCCAGCAAAAAAAGCGTAGGAAACAAATAATGCAGGTTACCTATGAAGACGAGTTTCAGAAGGGAAAAAAACCTGGGAGATGTGGCAACATGTAATTCAATGTTTGGAAATTCAAGACAGTAATCTGAACTACTCCTATCCTTTACAGTGTTAGAAATTAACCGCGCCAGCTTGTAAAAAGATCTGGCCACCAGCACAATGCAGCAAGTCCCTGCAAGAACCTGGTAAAGTATCTGGATACATGAGACGGTGAACAATACAGGAAAAGTTACAAATGATGTAGCATTAACGCTATTGCATGGGACACCTGGAATATTGTGTGGTATTTAAGTGATCCCATTCCAAAAATACGTAGTGCAAAGGGGTCAGGGTGGAAAAGTCTATGGGAAAATTCTCAGATAAAGAGAGATGAAAAGACTGCACATTTTTACATGCAGATAAAGAGTAGACAAGAACATACTAACATGTAGAAACAATAGAGGAAAAAATACCATTAACCCTTTCTCAAATGACATAAAACAGAAACAATGATGAACAAAATGAAAGGCAGAAAATCAAAACCTGATGGAAGAAATAGGTTTGCAACCACGGGCACAATTAGCCTGTGGAAACGATTCCCCGAAGATATCGATACATCCAGAAGCCAGAAAGGAATTTCTACAGATCTGGTCACTCGCACGCCAAAGAAGAACAGAGATGTAAATATAAAAGTTAAACTTAAAATATCTAGAGTTCTCGAAGGCAGGTAATTATGTCCTTTAGTGCAAAACCAACTCCTGGTTTCTCAGCGTTGACAAGAAAACTTCCTTGGGACAGCTAGGGAACTACAGCTACGAAGAGCAAATGGACTTTGTGACTTGTCTTCCTTTCCAGTTGCTGCTCTCTGAAGTATCTGCACCACCGAGAGTAAGAGGCCCTGGGCTAAAGACATGACTGATCTGATCCCCTGTTACTGTCTTTATACGCAGCAACTATCCAGCAACGTAATTTCAAAATGAAAAATTCACATATTTCTTCAAAGATCAGGTCGCTCTCTCGCACAGGAAGCTTTTTCCCGCACTTAGAAACAAGTTCTTTAATGAAACTCCAGCCATCTGGAATGAGCCTCAATAATCTGAGCTATATCATATCCCGGGCTGTTCTCCTATATTCAAACCTTGTTAGCATGTTCCCGTTTTAGCAGGCTGTCACCATCTCTCTCCCACTTCTATTTAAGCAGCCATCCCCCAGATTTCAGAACAAGCTTGTGGCCAACAGAGGAATGGGACTTTATGACAGTCTCCTACGATGTTAGCAAAGAGCTGCATAGTGATGACACAAGATAAAAATCTCTCTCCTCTGGTTAACAATTTCAGTACGAATGGAGCTATAGGGCATTCAAAATGGACCTCACCTGCCTATCAAAATTCAGATATTCAACCCCTACAGATACTCAAACATGCAGTAATGCTACAATTGATTCTTCTTTTTGTTTGCAAAACTTAAAACCGGTTCATTACTGAAGGGAAAAGACTTGTTAGCACCAGAAGTTATCAATACAACAAAGCCCAATCCCAAGCGGGTATGTTCTCACAGCCTACAGCAGCAGTCTTGGTGCTTCTCATCAACCTGCTCCTGTGAGGCTGTTGCTAGCTGAAACCACGGGTTGCTTGAATTCTAGAGAGGGAGCACATCCTGAGAGCCGGGGCAGAAGCGCAATTGATCTGTCTAGGCATCTACTCAGTCTTTGCGTCTCCTTGCTATCTCTTTACACACAGCGTCAAATTGCTTTTTAAAATTTGGCCTGTTCCTGGCTGGCATTAGCTCAGGAGCAAACTCAGGTGATACAGAGGGATGAAATGTCTGCTCCAGCCTGTGCCTTTTCTAAGCCACGGCAACCATTCGACAGCAACTGATTAAGACTACTCCGACCCTGCAACATGAGATGACTGTTTTTGTGGCTCCAGTTTCCTCCTCCACGATCAGATCAGGAGCAGATCACTAGACAACAGACCATTGTAGTGAGCGACAACTGAAACCAGTACTTACTGAGCGGTTTAAGGATGCTGCTGCTTGTCTCATCGGTGTTTTCTACGTCTGATTTGTCGGAGTAGTTCTCAGAGATTTTCTCCTTTTCCTTCTTTTCTTTGTGCCCAGGTCTTCTTCTATGACGCCTCCTTCTCCTATAGCTCTTCGGCACGTGGACCCCAATGTAAATAGTGTGATGACCTAGGGAACACAAGCACAGCAAATATGAACTTGGACTGCGTATAGTTTGTGCATCACTGGCCAGTACAATTCACGCTGCGCTTCATTCAAATAGGCAAGCGAAGTATCTTTCTCGGCCTAACGTTAATTAGTACGATGTTTCTTGTCTCCAAACGTGAGCTGGGAGCTTTTTAGGTACCATTTGGAAAAGTATTTTTTGTACAATCATTTCTGAGAGCGCAGACTCTCTGATAATTATTCTGTCCTTGTGACTCATTTAAAAATAAAAACAAAAACCACAAGGCCATCGTACTCATTTTGCAATATTGAATACAGTGCTCTTCAAAAACATTCTAAATGATTTTTTCCATTTGTTTTACCAAATACATTGGCTGGACTTAACACATACCTTGTGCAAGTTGATCCAGCTTAATTGAAGAGCTTAGAGCAACAAAGTTTACATCACTTGACTATGTAGTCCATTGTATAACAAGTGTCAAAGGACCATTAGGGTATTATTATAACACAGCAGATGAGGAAGGACTACTAACATAAGTTACCGTAAACTTCTAAGTACTTGACACTTTCCAAAATAAAAATTAAGTAATAAAAGAGTAAGTGCCAAATTTCATATGCTGACTGTAAACACAAGTATGCCTTTTTGCCTTTCACATACTTCCATTTCAAACTAAAGCACTTAAACTACATTTGCCAGTTGTTACGTCTTTTTGATGAGTTTGATAAAAATGTTTTACTGTCAGGGCTTTCTGCACTTCTACCAACTTGGGATAAATATCTTGCCTTGTGCTTATAGAAGGCATTTACACGTCTTTTTCTGTGCCCAGATATTTCAGACATCTTACCGTAAGCTTTAAAAACAGCTCCTTCAGATTTAACTCTTGATAAATGACAGCTGTATTCTATTCTTTTGACCAAATTTGGTTTCCCCACTCACATCTCAGTGTAGCCAAGCAGAGAGTTTCAGATAAACACACATGCCCTATTACTGACTGAAGCACATTTGTCCGAATGAATGAGCTGCAAATGCATGTAAGAACAAATGTATTTATCTGTAGGTACAGTCATTCCCTTCTGCTCACAGCGGAGCGTTTCTGCAGAGCTGTCCCTCTGCAGAGTCACTGCCTCGGTCACTTCACAACCATCTGTTCTTAGCGTGTGCTTACACCTTGCATGAATGCATGGCTGTTAAAACCCCACGCGAGCATACCGGAGGGCGTATTCAAGAGAAGGCAGAGGCTACAGCTTTTGGGGAGTTGCACTCCATCCCACAGCACTCTCCCACCCCAACTCATTCGGCAGGTGCCTCCCCAGGGAGAGGGGAGACCCCCCCCAACAGCAGCCTTCAGATCCCAGCCTCCGTGACTGCTGTGGCTTTGAGCAGGAAGCACAGGTAAGATACCCCTCGGTCCTGGCTCCAGCACCTACAAATATCTGCCACAGAAGATACCCAGCCAAAAGACTCTCTTGAAAGGCGCTCCACAATGTGAAATCACATCACTCCTGAAACCACAGGAACTTCTGTCAAACGGGTGGGCACTCAACAAGACGACGGCGACAGCGTCTGAAGCCAGACGAGATGTGCTTCGGTGTTACCAGACACGGAGCTCTGCAACAACTCTCCGTTCAGCTCAGAGCTGCGTCCACCTCTCTGTTGCAGCAGCCAGACGCCCTTTTGCTCGGCAATAAGAATTAAGTCAAGCGAGGAACAAAAGTCAGGCTTCGCTTGATAAAACAGACACGTGCTTGAGAAAGTTAGAGCGAAAACTGGCCCTTGCCACCGACCCACCTCTACCGATTCTCCCTCATTACAGAGGGAATGAGGGAAATATGCATATTTCCCTCTTTCCTTTCCTTTCTCTTTCTTTGCTCTTTCCTTTCACCTGCAAGCTGCATCTACTATTACTGTTTGCTTTTCAGCAGCATCACAAGGTTCCAGATGAACCACCTATTTGCAAGACACGGGAAGCTGCTCTGGAAATGCCAGCGCAACAGTAAAGCCAGAGTCTGCAGCCACCAGTTAACTTCACTGCTAAACATGCGTCTCTAATTCCTCGTTATGATAAATCCAATCTTTGAGACTGAACAACTGAAAATTTAGGCACAAAATGCCCGATTTCCATAGCAAACTGACTTTTCAATGAAAAACAACCCTGCATTTGCCATTTCAAATTCCACACGCTCTCGAGGCCTGCTGTGAAGTCTGGACAGTCCTTCACCTTTTTTGCATGTGAATTTTCATACTGAAAGCATCCGCGGTCTTTTAAAAAGCTGCTTGACCACAGTGGCCCTCCTTGATAGCAATTTTGCAATAACTGAGTTCCCCAAAGGCTTTGCAAATAACGGAATGATGAGCTGTATGCAGCTTATGAAAATAGCCCACGCCCCATGCATTTTACACTGTCTCTCATAGCCACCTTCACGTGTGCTCTATAGCCCAGCAAGACTACTGAGGTATACAGATCTCCAGCAGTAGCTCCTTTGCAAAGCAAACACAGAGGGCAAATTAGAAATTTTAAATGCATGCTGTTGTTGAGTTACTTAAGTATAAAAAAGCATCTGAAAAAGGCTTCTTAAATACCGCATTCTTAATTCTCAAAGACCAACAAAATGAAAAGAAAAAAAAAATTCTTCTCCGATACGATCACTTGAAAAAATATGTTCACCCCCAGAGTGGCACTAAGTGTGATACATTTTGGCTCCAAAGTAATTTGTTATGTGGAAATTGTAATAGAAAGCAGAGGCTTATGAAGAAATTCCCTTCTCACTCACAGACACGATGGTGTGACAGCGCCTGTGATGGCCCTGAAATGGAGCACATCATCGTTCCGGTAGCTAGAGTGCTTACAGCAAGCTCAAGTTTATGGCCTGGTGGGAACTATGCAGAAGACCATACTAAATAAATAAATAAATCAGATCTAAAGATATAGAGTGCCTGTGATATCAAGATATAAACTAACAGCTATAAAGGGTTAGTGAAAATCTCTCCGAGTGAAGTTACAGTTACTTTTTAGCCAGTATTATCGAGGCTGAGATATTAAAAGTTCACCACTACATGCGCATCTCCTGCTGCTGCCGGGTGCCAACAACCGCCCGGTGCAGCACCAGACACTAATGACTCGCCATCTGAGGGAGCAGGACAAAAAAAGAAACAGAAATCCGAGGTCGAGTAAGGTCCAAAATCAGGCAGCACAACAGTGACAGAAGAAAAGGGACCTGCATCTGCTGCCTCCAGCCCAGCGTGCCAGCGCTGCGATCTTTGAGAAATGGGCTCACGCCATAGAGGGAATTGGCAGAGCCACGATGCCAAAGTTGGAGACGTCTGCAGCGAGACCTTACCGAGCAACACCTGAAGATATGATTTAGCTCTAGCGTGTCAAAGGAAACCCGGAAAGCTATTCCAGCAACCAGAAACATCAGCTTTAACATGGCAGATGGCATAAACACCGCACAGGGACAGAGAAGGGGAAATTTTATCCGAGCACGAGCAGGAGCTCCGGTAGGGTAGGGGTGGCCCCAGGACAGACAGGGCACTGGTAGCCATTCCCAAGGGATTCTTACAGCCGAGATCGCATCCAAAAGCCAGATGCAGAAGGATGGGGTGATTCCGGTAGCTGTATTAAAACAACGTCCTCCTTTGAACCACTTCAATTCTGTGGTCAGCTTGATAATAGAAACACATCATAGTAAGCCTGTAGTCTTAATACTTTAATATGCTGCCAACAGAACTGGACAATCTCTTTAATCTTTTGACCACGTGTGGACAGTACAGATTTTGGTACTATGAAACTAAGTTGAATATACGCAGGCAAACATCTGCATTACTTAGCTGCTTTTCCCTATTCTGCAAGGGAGAGACTTACTTAACATTGCTTTTTGTCTCCCTCCCCCTCCCGCCTGTTCAGGGAGGCCAAGCAAGACATGTTCCTTTTCTGCGTACTTGAAGTGCTTGGCATCTGTTTATATTGTTGCAAATGCTGAGATAAACTTCTAGGCTCCCTTCCCAAAGCGCCTGGAAGGAAACAATTGACACATACTCTCAATGCACGGGGTTTCTGAGACATTTCCTACTCACCGGGGTAACAGAGCCTTTCCCATGAGAACCATTGACTACACATGGTAATGCCTGATAAATTTAACGTGACACACATGCACCGCACTACTACCCTACGGCTTGGTAGAGGATGGGAAGCACAGAGCCCAGCGCCGAACTCCTCCTGGTAATCCAGGTCCTGCTCGGCCGTAGCTTTCTCTTGTACACCCGACACGGGCCAACTGCCGGTTTCCTCCTGCGGCCCCCACTGCATTCACAGCCTTTTCTGGGGGCTGCTCCCCTCGCCCTCCCCGCTCTCCCCCAGGAAAACGATTAGCCTCTGTGTGCACCTCATTAATTTTTAGAGCTGTTCTGGTTGACCGGAGGCATGTATTTCACAACACTAAAATCCCGTAGGTAAGATGCTGAGCGAGGCCTGCAGGTCAAAGTGGCACCTCTTCTATTCTAAAGGACAGTGGTGGGTCGTGGCTTCCTTGAACTTACACCTGCTGTAGCTAAAACTTTTGAAGTTAGCTTCTTGTGTCTGAGGAGGAACTTTACTGTGCACCAAATTCAGAGCAAAATCGTTTCATCTGATTATTAATAGAGCAAGTAGTAGTCATCATCAGAGAGGTATTTTTCCCCCAGAAAAAATTTTGGTTGAAACCACATCTTTTGCTTTATTAAGAGCTATTAAAAAATAGCAGCTCATGATTCAGAGTCCAGATTTAGAGTTTGGGCACAGGAGAGTCCCTGAGTCAGTTTTACTGGTGAAAACCCGCTCACGTATTACCGAATTTAAGTTCTGTAAAATGCAGAACTTAATCCCTTCCTGCCTGCAAGAATATCTGTTCATCTCTTGCCTCCATCCTGGCCAAGCATGGTCTTGTTGACGTCCTGGGAATGAAACTATCTGCATCTCAAGCCGTGCACACCACACAAGCTCATGTGCTGACCCCAGCAGCGCTCT